CGGGACTGAGGGAGCTCCCTGCCGTCAGTGCCTACCTTTCTGCAGGTACATCCTGGCAGCCAGTCGGAACGCGCCGGGGCCCAGGTTCTGGCAGAGGCGGCTCAGCAGATGGGGTAGGCAGGGCCCTGAGCCTGCATGCAGCACCTGTTGCAGCCTCTGCAGCGTGTGGTTCTGTGCACCTGGAGGGCACCGCACAGGCTAAGGCCCAGCCGCCGGGTCCTTACTCACCCCAAATGCCCACTCCAGTCCCTCCTGGATGCCCGTGACGAGCACATCCACGGGACCACACGCCGTCCTTCCACAGCCACGGATCTGCTCTGCATGACTCTCCCCCCTGTGGCTGACAGGTTGGCTGACCTCACCTCACGCAAGTTGCCTTCCCTCTCTGGGCTTCCGTTTCCCAGAGAGAGACCCTCCAGCACAGTGGGAAAGAGTACAGCTATCAAACTTGTCAAACGTTTGCATAGGAATCGCCAGGACGGGCCAAGCATGGCGGCTCACGCCTGTAATCCCAGCGCTTTGGGAGGCAAAAGTGGGTGGATCACCGGAGGTCGAGAGTTCGAGACCAACCTGGCCAACATGGTGAAACCCCCGTCTCTATTAAAAATACGAAAATTAGCTGGGCACGGTGGCTGGTGCCTGTGATCCCAGCTATTCGGGAGGCTGAGGCAGGAGAATGGCTTGAACCCAGGAGGCGGAGGTTGTAGTGAACCGAGATCGCACCACTGCACTCCAGCCTGGGCGACAGAGCAAGGCTCTGTCGTGCTCCAGCCTGGGCGACAGAGCAAGGCTCTGTCTCAAAAAAAAAAAAAAAAAAAAAAGCAGGAGGACTTGTAAATAAGCAGATTCCCCAGCCCAGTCCCTGAGATCTGATTCACACAGACTGACAGGTGGGGGCCCAGGAATCTGCATTTGTTGTTATTGTTGTTGAGATGGAATCTCGCTCTGTTGCCCAGGCTGGAGTGCAGTAGCACGATCTCGGCTCACTGTAAGCTCCGTCTCGCAGGTTCAAGCAATTCTCTGCCTCAGCCTCCCGAGTAGCTGGGATTACAGGCACCTGCCACCACGTCCGGCTAACTTTTTTTGTATTTTTAGTAGAGACGGGGTTTCACCATGTTGGCCAGGCTGGTCTTGAACTCCTGACCTCGTGATCCACTCGCCTCAGCCTCCCAAAGTGCTGGGATTACAGGCATGAGCCACCACACCCGGCCTAGGAATCTGCATTTTTACCAAACAGCCACGTGACCCTGGTGGAGGAACCACCACGGAGAACCACTGAGTACTGAGTTCCTACTGGCCTCCCAGCTCTCTTGGTCTGGACAAGTGGTGCCAGGGTACCTAGTGCCAGGTGAGACAGCGCCAGGGCCACACTCAGGGGTGACAGGATGAGGTTGGGGCAGGTGGACGTTTGAGCCACCAGGGAGAACAGGTCGGCAGTGAAGGCCATCATGGCCTGGGCCAGCCTGCGGGTCTGCTCGGGGGTGGGGTCTCTGCTGCAGATTCCTGGGGGACTCTTCAGGGCAGTCTGGCCGCCAGGCTCCTGCAGGGACAGATCAGGGGTCAGGGAGGTCAAGCAGTCAGCTCCAGGTTCTGTGTTGAAGGTCTTGTCACAGCCCCCGTGCCTGAGGACAGCAGGGCCTTGTCCCAGCCCCAGGGGAGAGGGAGCGTCAGGCAGAGGGCACTGGCGTTCTGGGGCCTGGCGCCCACCTTCCCGCCCTCTCCCTTCTGGCCTCTGCACTCCAGAGCCTCAGCCTCACCACGCGCCCCTGCTCCCCACCCCTGCCGATGGGCCCTCCTCCCTCTGGCCCCGCCCACTCTTCCCCAGCCCCACCTGGTTGTACCTGGTTGCCCAACTTGAGGAGAGTAAGTGGGGGCACCCTCTCCTGGTTTGGCCCACTAGTTAGCTGCAGAAAGGAAGCAGATGGAGAGCGACCCTTCCCACAGGTCCCCTACGCTGCCCAAGCCACCGGTGAGACCCCCCGGGCCTTCCACCCAGTCACAGGCTCCTCGCTCCCCAGTACCTGCCAGCCCAAGGGCTCCATGGCGCTCACAGGGGAGAACTGTGGAGAAAGGGGTGAGGATAGGAGGCCCCTCGGAGCCAAGCCCTCCCTCCACGCCAACGTCCCTCTTCTTACCCCTCCAGCCCACCCCACCTCGACTTCAGCCCAGCCTCACCACGGAGAGGGGACCTTGCAGGCAGGACCAGCTGAGCACCAGGAGCCCCCAGAACAGCGCCATGTTCCTGTGGCAGGGACAGAAAGCTCTGTTCCCGTCTCACGTCCCCACGCCCGCCAGGGACTCCTACCCACGCCATCACAGATACCACCAAGTCCTGGGTCACGATTGCCAAGGGGAAGAAGCAGGCTCCAGGATCAGAGCAGACCCCAAACACAGGAACAACGGCTGCCGCTCCTGGGGCTGGGACATCCCCCCCGGCTTCTTCCCCCTGTTTAGTTTCTGCTGTTTCATATTGCATGCACTGAGAGCGTTTTGGTGAATAGGAGGGAAATACCAAAACAAAATGTTCTCATTCTTCAAGGCCCTGAGCTGTGAGTCAGGTCTGCATCTGCACCCAGGCTGCCTCTTGCCAAAGAACCTTGGCGCTTCCCGTAACTCTGCTGGGCTTGGCCTTACCTTGTAAAACGGTGGCACAAGTCCCTTATTCCTCTCACATGCATGGTGAGGACCAAAATAAGACCGTCTTTTGGGGTTTTTTTGTTTGTTTTTTGAGATGGAGTTTCGCTCTTGTTGCCCAGGCTGGAGTGCAATGTCAGAATCTGGGCTCACCGAAACCTCCAGCTCCTGGGTTCAAGGGATTCTCCTGCTTCAGCCTCCCGAGTAGCTGGGATTACAGGCGTGTGCCACCACGCCCGGCTAATTTTGTATTTTTTAGTAAAAACGAGGTCTCTCCGTGTTAGTCAGGCTGGTCTCAAACTCCCGACCTCAGGCGATCTGCCCGCTTCAGCCTCCTCCCAAAGTGCTGGGATTACAGGCGTGACCATCTTTGTGGCCAGGCACAGTGGCTCACGCCTGTAATCCCAGCACTTTGGGAGGCCGAGGGCAGGTGGATCAGCCTGGCCAACGTGATGAGACCTCATCTCTACTAAAAACACAAAAAGTAGCCAGGTGTGGCGGCGGGCGCCTGTAATCCCAGTTACTCAGAGGCTGAGGCAGAGAATCGCTTGAACCCGGGAGGCGGAGGTTGTCGTGAGCCGAGATCACGCCACTGCACTCCAGCCTGGGCAACAGAGCAAGACTCTGTGTCAAAAAAATAAATAAGGCCGGGCGCGGTGGCTCACGCCTGTAATCCCAGCACTTTGGGAGGCCGAGGCGGGCGGATCACAAGGTCAGGAGATCAAGACCACGGTGCAACCCCGTCTCTACTAAAAAAATACAAAAAACTAGCCGGGCGAGGTGGCGGGCGCCTGTAGTCCCAGCTACTCGGGAGGCTGAGGCGGGAGAATGGCGGGAACCCGGGAGGCGGAGCTTGCCGTGAGCCGAGATCCGGCCACTGCGCTCCAGCCTGGGCAACAGAGTGAGACTCCGTCTCAAAAAAATAATAATAATAAAATAAATAAATAAATACATAAGCCCGTCTTTGTAAACCCTGAGTACGATGCTTGGCACTGCCCCGGCTCAGCTCGGCTCAAGGCCACCTCTTCTGGGAAGCCTGCCCTGAAGCCTCCACCACACAGCTCCCAGCCCAGAGCTCCTACCCAGCCTGCTGCGTCCATTTAGCCCGTCTTTCTCAGGCTGGTCAGGTCTTGCCCACAAGGCTGGACATACCTGTGAGGCCCTGAGGTCTCAGGATGGGTGGCGAGGTGGCCAGAGAGCTGCCTTTTGACCCAGCAGGGGAGCCCAGTGAATGACTCTGGCCAGAGACACCCCTGCATTTAGGAGAATCACAGGCCTCGACCTGCACTCTGCCTCAGGCTGGCTCTGGGAAGGGCAGGTGTCGGTCTCAGGAGGATAAGTCAGAGGAGGTCTCACAGTCTACCCCCAGCCCGCCCTCATCTCGGGACCAACCCTTCTGGAGGATCCTTCCGTCACCCCCGGCCCCACCCCCATCCCACACAAGAGCCCTTGGCCAGGGCCCCGACTCCAACCTGGGCATTAGAATCTTCCTGCCAAGAACAGGCTCCAGTTTTTCCAAGTCCCAGAGGAGGCTGGGGAGTGACAGGCCTCCTGAATAAATCCAGCCCAGACCCCTCAGCCAGGGAGGCAGCTCCCTCCTCTCCCGCCCAAGGAGCAGGCCGAGCCGCCCCTCCCCTCGTACCTCTGCGGGCTCCTTGCTGCCACACACGACGTTCCTCTGGTCCCACTTGGGTGCTCCCCACACTCTGCCCGGGCTCCAGCCAGCCCAGCCCAGCCCACCCCTCCCCTCCCACCAGGACCTTTACTCTCAGCCAACCCCTGTTGAGGCTGCCTTCTCTTCTGGTAAATATTGACTTGCACATCCGGTTAAACATTGACCTTGAAGCCAGAAGCCCCTTTCCCACCAGGGTGTCTAATCCTGAGGCAGCCACACAGAGCCCCCTATATTCGGGTCCCCCCTGAGCCTGGAAAGAGGAAGTCCACGAGGAGAGAGGTGAAGAGACTGGATCTGCCTAGCCAAGAGGGCGGATCCAGAAGGCACAGGAACCTAGCACTGTGTTAAGCCTTCCAGAGACCCCACGAGGTGTGGATTATCCCTGGTTCAGCCAGGCTCAGGCTCAGAGAGGCCATGTGACCTGCCCAAGGACACAGAGCTGGGCTGAGTCACATCCAGATTCTCACTTCCATTGTCCTTTCTTCTCCCCGAGAGCTGCCTCCCGCTCCCGGGGGGAGGAAAGGGGAAGCCACAAGAGCCCGTGCAGAGAGCCCGGGATAGGAAGCTCACCCCCAACCTCACAAGCCCGGGATCTGGGGGGGCTGCCTTCAGACTGGGCCCGGAAGGCAGGGGGTAAGGGAGGAGAGATGAGAGGGACTCGGCCTGTCCCACCGTCCTGCCACTCCGGAGCAATGTCTCTTTCCCCAACCCAAGCGCGAGGGTTCTGGAAACTGGCCCGGGGCTGTGTGAACCAGAAGCCTGGCAGCCCGTGCAAAGATCAGGTTCCTTCCCACCTTCACACCTGCTCTTCACTGCCCTGCATCAGGCCGCTTCCCACCCTCACACCTGCTCTTCACTGCCCTGCATCAGGCCGCTTCTCACCTTCACACCTGCTCTTCACTGCCCTGCATCAGGCCGCTTCCCACCCTCACACCTGTTCACTGCCCTGCATCAGGCCGCTTCCCACCCTCACACCTGTTCACTGCCCTGCATCAGGCCGCTTCCCACCCTCACACCTGTTCATGCCACTCCGGAGCAATGTCTCTTTCCCCAACCCAAGCGCGAGGGTTCTGGAAACTGGCCCGGGGCTGTGTGAACCAGAAGCCTGGCAGCCCGTGCAAAGATCAGGTTCCTTCCCACCTTCACACCTGCTCTTCACTGCCCTGCATCAGGCCGCTTCCCACCCTCACACCTGCTCTTCACTGCCCTGCATCAGGCCACTTCCCACCCTCACACCTGTTCACTGCCCTGCATCAGGCCGCTTCCCACCTTCACACCTGTTCACTGCCCTGCATCAGGCCGCTTCCCACCTTCACACCTGTTCACTGCCCTGCATCAGGCCACTTCCCACCTTCACGCCTGCTCTTCACTGCCCTGCATCAGGCCACTTCCCACCTTCACACCTGTTCACTGCCCTGACCCTCACACCTGTTCACTGCCCTGCATCAGGCCGCTTCCCACCCTCACACCTGTTCACTGCCCTGCATCAGGCTGCTTCCCACCCTCACACCTGTTCACTGCCCTGCATCAGGCCGCTTCCCACCCTCACACCTGTTCACTGCCCTGCATCAGGCCACTTCCCACCTCACTGTCCTGGAAACTGCTGGGTCTCAACTTTCCCCACCCTGATACCACCAGCAAGATAAGCCTCAGGCTGGGAGCAGTGGCTCACACCTGTAATCCCAATACTTTGGGAGGCTGAGGCGGGAGGATTGCTTGAGCCCAGCAGTTGGAGACCAGCTTGGGCAACATAGTGACCCTCCATCTCTATTGGGAAAAAAAAAAAAAAAAAAGACAAGCCTCAGTTTGCCCCATGGCTCTTCCAAAGGATTTATTGGTCCTATTTACATCTATTGCAAATTGTGAGGAGGCAGCAAGGGCCAACCCCTGGACCTCATCTCCGTCTAGAAGGTGAGGCTGCAGGGATGCTTAAGTCTTCCTCTGGCAGAGACCCGAGGTGCAGAGATGATTCTTCTCACCCCTTCGCTCAGGGTCGTGGAGCCCCAGCAGGGGTTCAGGGCCCAGAGGCTGCCCCGCTCAGCTCAAGGCACAAACACTGTAGTTAGGGGTAGGCAGGCAAGGCATGGGCTCACTCCGGGCAGGCACCACTGGCCAAGTGCACCTTCTCTCCCCTGCTCCTAGCCTCTTTCTTCCTTCCCCTCCTGGTCCCACACTGGCCAGGGCCTGGGTGGGTGGCCACTTAAACCCCAGACCCAGGCCCTTAACTCCTGGACCATGGCCAGCCTTCCTTAGGCTGGAATCCAAGCACCATCAGTGCTCTGGACCAAGCCAGATTCCCTGTCCTAGAGGGACGGGGCAGAGAGAGCCCAGTGTGGGGTGAGGGGCTAGAGACCAGCTGGGCAGGGCCAGTCTCCCTTCCCCTTCCTGAGCCTCCCTGTCCTCATGTGGACCCAGAGGGCAGAGCTGGGGAGAAGTGAAGGTAGCAATGCTTCTTCCTGCTCTTACTTCCTGCTTGCTAGGAGCAGTGCGTCCCCAAGTCATGAATGAGACTCCTCTGGCAGGCTTGGTGGCTCTGGTTATTTAAGGGCCGGGACTCCCCCACTCCAGTTGGAGGCCCTAGTTGGCAGGACATGTGGGCACCCAGGGCGTGGGACCCAGGGCCTCCGGGGAGGCAGCTGCTGCTCGGGGAACAGGGTGAGCAGACACGCTCCCGCAGATGTCTTCCCACCCTTGCCCGGCCAGCTCCTGCCTCAGCCTATGCCAGGAGGCGGATAACTCCATTGTCTGAGCCCAGCAGGAGGTGGCGTTTGGTGGGCAGCAGGGCCAGGCTGGTGAGCGTGCCGCGGAAGTTCTCAGAGCTCAGCTTCGTGGTGGCCTGGGAGGGCGGCTCAAGCAGGGAGCAGACGCCAATCTTGTTGGACACAGTGCCGGTGACCGCCTCGCTGCCGTACAGGTCAAAGGTGTGGATGGGGTCGGACGCTGACTTATAGTGATGGGTGGGTTTCTGCTCCAGCTCCTTCCAGACGGTCAAGGAATGGTCAGAGGAGGAGCTGACCAGGACACTGCCCTCCACCGCCTGTCCCGGGAGAGGAGAGTCTCAGCAGGGTCCTGGGACCTTCCGCATACCCTTGAGCCCCAAGGCCTCCCCAGTTCCCTCCGCAGTCTCTCCAGGGAGACAGGCCGTCCTGGGTGGGCGAGAGACCACCACCCTCCCACACACACTATATTCATGTTTCATTTTTCTTTTTTTTTTGAGACAGAGTCTTGCTCTGTCTCCCAGGCTGGAGTGCAGTGGCCGGATCTCAGCTCACTGCAAGCTCCGCCTCCCGGGTTCCCGCCATTCTCCTGCCTCAGCCTCCCGAGTAGCTGGGACTACAGGCGCCCGCCACCTCGCCCCGCTAGTTTTTTGTATTTTTTAGTAGAGACGGGGTTTCACCGTGTTAGCCAGGATGGTCTCGATCTCCTGACCTCGTGATCTGCCCGTCTCGGCCTCCCAAAGTGCTGGGATTACAGGCTTGAGCCACCGTGCCCGGCCTGTTTCATTTTAATACACTCAGCATCCGTAACCCAGTCATCACTAAGTTGAGAACGACCCATAGGCATGGTGCCAGGCGTACACGTGACAACCTTGACCTTCATAACAACCCTATGCGGTGGATGCTGCCAATGTCCCCATTTCACAGAGAGGAAAAGCGAGGCTCAGAGAAGTGAAGTAACCATACCAAGGTCATGGGGCCAGTAAGCAGCAGAGCCGGGATTCACACCCAGGCTGACCCCAGAGCCCTCCTGATACTTTCTTGGAAAGTTAGAATTTAGGGTAACTCGAGCTCAGGGTTCCCTGGGGCTCTGGAGGGAGCCAGTGACGGCCTGCTCTCAGCAGGGTAATACAGGACTCCTGGCCTCCAGCCAAGACGGGGAGGAAAGTCCCAGCTGCCTGCAGAAATCCTCCCACACGTAGCCCTGTTCCTCCCCTCCTGGGTCTCTCTGAGCAGCTCCCTGAGGCCTGTGACTGAGAATGGAGGGAGGGGAGGGAAAGGAGAGGGGGCAGGATCCCCAAGCCCAGGCCTGCTCCTGCCCCGGCCAGGGCAGCCCAGCAGGGCCATGGACTCTGCTCCGTGGTCCGCGGGCAGTAAACAGCCTCCCAGCTGAGCTTTATTTAACCTGAACTGGGTCACGGACGGGACCTGACCCCTGATCCTCCAAGCAAGACAAATATAGACAAGGGTTACTCATTAGAACATCTCCATGAGCAACAGGGTCAGCCCTGCCCCGTGGCTCCCGCCCCCATGGCCTGCCTCCTGCTGAGGCCCCTGCAGTGCGACTGGCTCCCAAGTTGGCCCAGGAGGGCCACCCTCCCTGCCCATCAGTCCTGGACCAGGTATATAAGACAGACCAGCTCGAGCCTGTCCCTGGGCAGGCAGGCCCTAAGCAGGGGTGATGGCTGGACACGGGCGGGGGCCGCATAGCAAGGGGAGGGGGACCTGGCCTGTCACCTTGATCTGCAGAATGTCCCCCTCGTGGGCTGGCCAGCCTCGCAGAACCAGGCCCGTGCGGGTGTCCAGGAGCACCATGAAGCCCGAGGAGAAGCCGGCCACGACGCTACGGCCGCTAGGGCTGACGGCCAGGGCGCGGACAAGCCCAGGGTTCAGCCCACCGCCCAGTCGGAACTCGTGCTGCAGGGAGAGGGCGGCTGAGCTGAGGCACCGCCTTCCCATCCCACGCTCCCCAAGGCCCTGCCCCCCACCCAAGCCCCCACGGCAGGAAGGCCTGAGCCTCTGACCCTCATCAAGGGGCGTGAAAAGCCCAGAACCCCACCCCCATCACAGGCCAGAGTACTGCCCCACAGGGTGTGCGGCTGCGGGTGATCTAGCACCAAAGAGAAACTAACTAGTGCCCCAGAACGACATCCTGGCTTTCTGTTTTGGGGGAGTCTCTCCTCCCTGCCAGGTCCCCAGAGAACCAGGCGAGTGCTCAGGGCACTGGACCCCCCTGACCTGCAGACCCGGCTTCCTGCAGTCCACAAAGCGCAGGGTAGAGTCAGAGCTGGCCATGGTGATGCTGGTGTGGGGGGCGGGCATGACAGCCACCGCGGTCAGAGGCACCCGGCTGTCCAGCGGCTCCACTGTGCGAAGGGTCTTCCCTGGGAAGGAAAGTCACAGTGGATCTGGGGTCACAGCAGCTGATGGACGAGCCCTGGGAGCTTCTAATCCCCCAACTCACCACACAGCTGCCTCCCGTCCCCCAGGGATCCTTAGAAAATGCTAAAGATGTTTCTTTTTTTTTGAGACGGAGTCTTGCTCTGTCGCCCAGGCTGGAGTGCAGTGGTGTGATCTCACCCAGGCTGGAGTGCAGTGGTGTGATCTCACCCAGGCTGGAGTGCAGTGGCGCATCTGGGCTCACTGCAACCTCCACCTCCCAGGTTCAAGCGATTCTCCCACCTCAGCCTCCTGAGTAGCTGGGATTACAGGTGCCCACCACCACGCCCAGC